GGTGACCAACAACCGGCAATGCGATTAATTCTTTGGGTTGATTCATCTGTACGGCGATGAAGTCTGATATTTATTTATATTACACAAAGAAAATCATGACCCTTAACGCCAACTAAGCACCTATTTTTGTTGTCTTTCTTTCTTTCTAACCAACTACTACAAAAACCACAGGGTCCCCTCCCCTCTCTTGTCTCACACCGGCGCCGACACTCTTGTTGCAGAGCAATGGGAGGGGAGGGGATTTTGGGCCGTATCCTAAGGGCCCAATGTTGAAGAAGATCTTACCTGATATGCCAGTAGCGACTACTAAACTAAGGGAAAGCCCAACTGGTTGGAATAATGTACTTACATCATTGTTTGATTTTTTATTTACGCAGGTCGCAGGAGAATGAGTTGGGTTTTACTTACGTTCTAGGCCCAACTTCATGGAGACATCAAACGGAAGTTTCATGGTATAAAAACAAGCCCAAGCCATCGCTGTAGCTTGCCACCCAATGCACGTGTCGTGGGAGGGAAGGGAATAGGGAATACATGTGTTTTTGAAATGACTTTATTGGATGTTTGGAGAATATGAGTTCAAATCTATAGATTATCAATAATTTACAGTTTTTAATGTTTTGGATTTTTTAAAATATTTATTGTTTGGTAACTGTGATTGATAACATTCAATGAAAATAAAATTTTTACATTAAATAGCATGTTTATCCTTCATAAAAAATTAGAGTGGTTCGAGAAATATTAAAAACTTTGTTTATAAATATATTTAATATGATAAATAAAAGAAAGAAAGAAAAAAGGTAGGAGAAAAAAAATCTCACGAATCAATATATAAAATCGCTCTGATTACGAGAGATTTGATATCCGTAGATTTTAGAGATTTGAAATCTCTAAAACTAAAATCCAAAATACAAAAAGCAACAAAAACATAACTTTTTACAAAATCTACGAAATCAATGAATCCACGCCCTAAATCCCGTTCTCCAAACGACCCCTAAATTCTAAGTCAATGATTCACACCTGCCTTTTCGTCTAATTTTTGGTTATTTTATTTTTACCTTTTTATAGAAAAATCTGCCTTCTTTGTTTAAGAATCATACGAGATGGTAAGACGATCTCTTCCAAATATCTTTTTTAATCTCTTCCAAGTAGAGGTACAATTTATTCACCCAAACCTCTTCTTCCCCATCCATCAAATGGGTCGGTCTATTTTTTTCTCAACGCGTGTACGGGCAGATGGGCTTCTTAAAATCATGGGCTCGGGCCTGCAATTCAACACATAACAAGCCCATCTCCAAGACCGACCTTTCACTACTCATCAATTGCTCGCCCTACCCATAATCTTCCATTCCTTTAATTTCTTTTTAGTTAATTCGTGGTTGACAATTTCTCTAATCCCATATGTACCGGGGCGAGACCAAAAGACGTCCTAGCATCTCCTTCGATTCCGTTTTCTAGAGCTCACAAAACCATTCATTTGAGGTAAGATTCTCTTCCTTCTCAAAAAATGCATGCAGTAGACTAGGTCTCCAGACTCGACGCACCCACCCACACTCCCTCAGAATGTGCTATTGAGTTTCCTTTAGGTCACAAAAGGGGCAACCTTTACTGTGTCTTTGTGTTCTTTATAGGATCTTCCCTCCTGTTGGTAAGATTTTTTGAAGCCAAGCAAAAAACTTTACCTTTGTCGGTATTCTTAGTCCCCATAATCGTTTCTAATTCACCGGCCAGTATCTCCCCCTCCTCCTCCTCATTTATGATTTGCCAGAGGTTGATTATAAGCCGATTTAACACTTTATTTCAAGTCAAGGGATATTTACACCCCCTGTCAACATAATAGCAAAACACGTTATTGGGTGTACAACAAAAAATACGTCGATAAACATAACACCCTCCATTAAAACGATGAATAATATATGATTCAATGAGGACCAAATGGGAAGTACAAAAGATACTATTGTGAGCCTGGTTCAAATCAAGCTCAACCGAATGAAAATCGAACGACCATTCAATATTCTCCACATTTCAGGCTCCATTCTTCGCACTCCCAGGCTCCATAAAAAGGGTGCTGTGCTCAAAAATCAAAATAAAAGCCTGAACTGAAAAGGATAGCCACTTAGCTTATAGCTTGAATGCGGAGAGCGGAGAATTTTTTGCCATACTTACTTTTGCTCGAGTGGTCAAAATCAAGCCCATGTTCCCAAGCGTAAAAAAGGCAAGCCCGTATACATAAGTGTCGTTTTCAAACCAGAGCTAGAGATTAAGGTTGTCGTTTCAGATAGTACAATAATGTACCATGCTATCACTGTACGTTAGGGCACTTTCCTCGTAGCTTTAGGGCTTGGAGATCTGTGTGCTGTCGAAATTACGTGCGGTGGGTCAACGTCCTCCTTCCCTATGACACCGGCAAAGGCATCATATATTTGCAGGCAGTGGAATTGACTGTTTGTGACATTTCCGATCCCCTTTGCCTTTTTGACCAAATCAGCGGCTCAAAACATTTGGCACCATTGTTGCTTTTCATGGATATGTGAGGTAATAAGTTCTTGGGAAGTTGCAGTTCTTGATGAAAGACGAGAGATAGATTCTTAATTAGATCGATTTGGAAGCAAAATGATGGGTGGGTCTAATTTGAGTTTTGTGCTTATGCCCTTGGTACATTCACGCGGTTAAGTGGTTGGATCGGGGAGTGGGTTGTTTCACTTCGAGTCAGAAGAGATACTCGATCGACTTATAACTCTATCAATATCAACGATAGAGATCAATAAAATGTGTCTATTTTCTTTTTGTTTATGCTTAGCACTCATTCACAAGGGCACGCAATGACGTAATGGACATGAAGAATGGGTTCGATTATTTTGGTCACAGGTTATTTAAGAGAATTTATGTATACAGTCATCAAGGTTATGTATACATCTCATATAATGAATTAACAGTGGTCGGTATGAATCGATGTTAATGTATTTTTACATCATTTGTATTGTAATGAATTATTATATTATAAATACATAAATTAATACAATATGTACATTTTGATATTAATTTGGTTATGAAAATAGTTAATGTTAAATAGTTTGTATTGTAAGTTGTGAATGTTAAATCCTTTGAATTATAATGAATTACTATAATATAAATAGTCAAATAAATTATAAGTACAATATGTGCATTTTGATAATACTTTTGGTTGTTGAGTTTTCACTTTATGGATTAATTTACATAAAGTTAGTTCATGGGAATGCCAAATATATCCTTTACTTAATATAAAAATATAAAAGCAAAATACACTTTTATAGTTATAATAACTATTCACGTTGTGACAATAATAACCACTTTTTGAAAAATATATACACATATATAGCCACTTTTTTCAAACTTGCTTGACAACTTTAATCATTTCCGTTACAAACTTTAGCATCGTCATGAACTCCGTCAATAACCTCTATGTGTTGGTGAGATGGATGCCACCTAAACTTAACTGAAAAGACGCATTTTATCGTGAAATGAATAAGTTATGTACGAATCCCAAAATTATACTCAGTATAAAATAATACAAAAATAAATAACCTTCTAAAAAAGTCACTGTAATACTTCCAGAACAATACCATGCAAGATAAATTCACAACATACAATATCTTAATTTCAAAAGAGTTACCTTTATTTTCGTCATCCGGTAAGAAAAGAAAAATAACTTATACGGCCTTCAATCGACGGCCCATTGGAAAGAAAACCCCCCCGGTTACCCTTGAGATGATGGTCAAAGGTCAAGGATGAAGGCTGACTAACAACACAAAATTGGTATCTTGGAGCTGAGGAATCTGTGGATCTCATCTCATCATCATCATGGGCAATCAGTGATTAATTAGTTACAGATCTCATTAAACAATGAAACAAGTTGCTAATGTCTGTCAGTGATTCTCAATACCAAGTAGTCTTCTGTCGGAAACTCGGAATACTTCATCTCAGTACTCTTGTAATGTGTTAAAACAGTTTAAGCCTTTCTTATTAATTCTACATACAAATAATAATAATAATAATAATACTAATAAAACCATTACAAATCATGCCCCTCAAAGTACAGAATAATGAACATGACATAACGTATCTTAACAGGCAAAATCAAACAAATCAAATCAAAATTATCATCTTTGACTTCATAAAAATATCGACGTACATTATATGAAGTTTTACATCTAGAAACTCTACGATCTCAATGTAAATCTTACGCACCACCGTTAACTATAGTCTTCACTTAAAATCGTTCAAGTCACTTAACTTTTAAATGAATCAAATCATCTCTTGATCAATTGAACTGACTAGAGTGAGGTGACCCATCTTGACTAATTAATTTTCATCCCTCCAAAGTTCTACAATAACAAAAGTCTTCCGTTAAAATGAAACTCACAAAACTTATTCTCCTCTTTGGAAGGTTTTAATTAAACGTGGGCGAGACTTATGAATTTGAAGGACTATAAATCAATCATAATATAGATTGAATTTGTTTATGGAGGGGAAATAAAGAGCGAATAGAAAAAACAAAGAAAAAAAAACACACTAATTACCCAATAGAATAATATCGAGGGCGAACAAGTCACATTATGTTTCCATCATTGGGTTGGCCATGGTTGGCTACTCCACCCTCCCTCCATATGCCATCCATCCATTCCATGGAAAATAGAGGATATAAAACCAAGTTAAATTTAGGAAAATGATGAAAAAAATAAAAAAATAATTAGGAACCAGTTTGGGGGAGTTGTTGCTTGCAAGCTCATTGTCAATGCTAGCTAATTGCCATGCCCCTGATCATTATCATCTTTCTGTGTCAAAGAATGTTTAATAGAAAATATAGACAATACTTTCCAAGATTGGATTATTGTGATAGATTTCGAGTTAAATGTATAAATGGTGGAAATTTAGATCAATGCTTTAGAAGGTCTGATTTAAACAATTACATGATTGAAACTTATTCATATGATTAATCATTCATCGGAGAGATGGAAACTGACTGCTAATGTAGACATTTATAGGGCTGGATGGATGGGGAGTTAACACCTCTTAATGTTAGCACTCTACTAACACTAATTATAAGAGTATTATAGTAAGGGTAAATGCCACATTCGGTCACTTATATTACTAAAACGTATCATTTTTAGTTACTGAAAAAAATTAATATCAAGAATGGTCACTAAGTTTAGTAAAACATGTCATGTTTGGTCACTCTCCGTTAGTCTCCGTCCAACTCCGTTAATGAAGTCCGCTAAGTGCTAATGTGCCAAACGGAATCGCCTAATCAGCCGGTTTTAACCCAAAAAATACTAAACCCGACCCACCACATCATCACAACTCGTCACGTTATTAAAATCATAACCCAACCCATTTTTCCAACCCATGACCCATAGTAAACCCAACCCAGCCACAATCCTTTCTCCGACAAGTGCTTCGCCTGTGCCCCTTCCCCTTCTCCACCGCACCAAAGGAAACACGCCCTAATCCTTTATCCCACTCTTTGCATCAATCGGCTTGGAAGAAATCGTTTGCCACAACCTGAGGCTACCACCACGCTCCCGCTCCTCCTCCTCCTCAATCTGTTCTCCTCCACCAAAACCCAAGACCACCAAATCCGAAGTATCCAACTCTTGTTGATCATTGGCCACCTTCTTCAGTTCAACCAAACTAGTCTCCTCGATTCTATCCTCATTCATCGTCGACAAACTCCTCAAATCGCAGCTCAACATTGGGAATGGTGAATTAGGGCTAAACGAACAATAATGCCCCCGAAAGGCAGGGCCAATTTCACTATATCAACCATTTAGAATCCAAACATTCCTTGGAATCACGGAACTGGTAAGCGGGTACTCATGCGTTTGAATCAATTGCTATTGGACGGGGTAGCAAACATGCTAAATACACAGGGCGCGAGATTAGACCCTCCACATTTTTTATTGGGAGAGACAACTCGGTTTTGGAGGAGAGACAGTGGGTTTTGGCAAAGAGAGCAGATTGAGGAGGAGAAGGAAGAGGAGCAGCGATAGTGTGGTGGAGCATGGTCCCGATGGCATGGGCGAGTGTGGCGAAGCTCCCTTGTCGGAGAAAGGATTGAGGCTGGTCGCGGGTTGGGAATAAGGAGCTCATGATATGGGTTGGATTTTGTATGGGTCGTAGGTTTGGAAAATGGGTTGGGTTATGATTTTAATTACCCGACGGGTTGTGATGATGTGACAGGTAGGGTTTAGTGTTTTTCAGCTTAAATCCGGCTGATTAGGCAAATTTGTTTGCCACGTAAACACTTAACGGACTCCATTAACGAAGTTGGACGGTGAGTAATGGAGAGTGACCAACCATGACATATTAGCATGATTTTACTACACCTAATGACCATTATTGATATTAATTTTTTTAGTGACTAAACATGACACGTTTTAGTAATGCCAGTGACCAAATGTGGCATTTACCCATCATAGTAACTACCCATATGACCAATGTTGTCAAAGTCTAACTTCTAGGTAAAAGCGAAATAATGGGTGAAAGCGGAAGCGCAAAGCGAAGCGTGAAAGCGTAAACTTTTGCACATCATATAATTTTAATAAAAATATTCTAGCCATAACTTGTATTATGCAAAATATGAACAGAGAGATGAACTAGCTCATATTTAACATATTACTCTCATACACATAAACTAAATTAATAGGCATTTAAACAAGAATTCACCACCTTCCTCTTGCTTTCTAGAAAAAATATGAGAAAAGGAAACCAACAACAAACGACGAAGCTAGAAGGATTATAGACAAGCTCTACTAATAAGTGAAAGTGGCGGCAAATGTGAGGCTGAAGTAGATGAGCTTTGACGACAACATAGTCATAGAGGTGGGATAGGAGTTGTAGGGATGGGGAGGGTTGATGCACCGAGTGAAGATGTCCAAGTTATTGTAGCGGTGAGAGCCTACTAAGAGGAAGTTGGATGCACGTTGTGGGAAACTAAGGGAAAAGCGTAGGAAGCAAGACTTCGGATTTGGCATGTGGTTTTGGAGGTAGAGAAAATACGAGAATGTGGAAAAGTGGCGGTGAATTAGGGATGTTAAATTCATAAAAGCAAAGACTGAAAGGATAACCCAACTAGAAAACAAATAAGACTGCAACATTTTTCTCTTTTGTCCAAAAAATTGAACCAAACACGACCAAATATGATCCTCATACTCGGGTATCAAAAGCGTAGAGAAGCGATCAAAATCTAGCTTCTAAGGCTTTTACTACGCTTGAGGGCTTTTACTTGGACTTTTGATGCAAAAGGCTTTTTGAACAAAAGCTACAATATTTGGGTGTTCCAAAGTGTAAAAGGGTAGGCTTTTAGGCTTTAAAGCTAGCTTTTGACTACATTGCATATGACAACTTCTTTATCTTCGTCTCAACTCCCATGGATTTGGGTTTCATTTGTAAATTACATTTTGGTATGAAAACGTAATAGATTTTAAGATTTAGTACTTTTTTTTTGCATATAAGTTCTAAACATTGATGGGGAATTATATTTTACTTTAAGAAACTTGCGGCCTCTTTTATGAGGTTTCTAGTATGCTTTAACAAACTTGTGGTGTACTTTAATAAACTTGTGACATGCATTAATAAACCTGTGGTGTGATTTATGAGCTTTCTATCATGCCTTGGTGAAGTTGTAGTGTGTTTTAAGATATTTGTGGTATGCTTCAATAAACTTTATTAGGTTTCTGGTGTGCATTAGAGAGATCATAGTGTGCTTTCACAAACTTATGGTCTGCTTCAGAGAACTTGTGGTATGCTTTATAAGATTTGTGGAATGCTGTTAGAAACCTTGATCTAGGCGTGCACAATTAGGGTTCACTAATCGTTGAGTGACCAGAGAACACAATCGATACGGGAATTAGGGATTGAGAATTGTAGGAATTGGGTTTTTGGGAAGGGTTATTTGAGGGAAGGAAGAAGAGGCAGAAGTCTCCTCCAAGGTTGGAGGCCGACGGCAGCAAGGGAAGAGGGAGAAGAGAGTTGGCCGAGGGAAGGGAGAGAGAGAGGGAGGGGTAGGGTTTAGGGAATTATTGTTCTGTAATTGCTTAACCTCCTAATATAACGATTATAGAATATATATATAATCCGACAATTTCCTCTAACTACCCGATATTTCCTAAGTACCCGACAATACCCAAATAATCCGAAAATGCCCTGAATATAACATATGAGGTCCTCAAATAAATAATAAACCGACAAACAAGTTCAACTCCTAAATTATTAGAAACTGGGTTTCTAACAAATGCTTCAGAGAATTTATGGTATGCTTTGAAGTTTTTTGTAATATTTATGAATTTTGTGGTGTGGTAAAGTTATGGTCTGCTTTATAAGTTTTTTTTATATGCTTTATGGTATTTGTGGTGTGGTTTGTTGTGTTTCTGGTATGTGTTTTGTGATATACTTCATGATACTTGTGGTGATACAGAATTAATACCTAACATCACACACATGTGCCCTTTTAATTTTTAATGTCAAGCGTGCCCCTTCCTTTATAAATTCAAATTAATTGTCGTCAGTGGTGGAGCTAGAAAAGTAGCCAAGAGGGTGTTTCTTCATATCATAAAAAAATCAAATACATTATAGAAAAGTCAACTCTTAACGAAATAAGAAGTCAACAACTTAATACTCAACCTTCATACAATTACGACTTACACTGGTTATAACGAACCACCACCAGATTTCATATTCTAAAAGCATTCTAGAACACATTTTATTGTCCAAACTAGCACACAAATTGTTCAATATATGTCACTATCGCGTCGTAACCACTCATTGTTCGATTTCAAAAATCATTCTTTATATATTTCGTGGATGAAAATGATCGTTCCACACTTGTCGTTACAACCAGAAGAATGAGTGTCAACTTAAGGAGCAAATAAACATATGGATATAATTTGTGCTTCTTTGCTTCCACCATTTTTTGTTTGCGAACTCATCAATTCCTTGTAAGTTTTTGAATTTGTCATCGAATGGTAGGTCACAGAAATTCAACTGATAACCAAAATTTTTATTTTAAGGACAAATCGTTGTTATAGGTTAAGGGGTACATGTATGAGGACTAATATCGCGTATGTGTTAACCACAAAATACCGACTACCATCTTTTCTGTACATGTAGCATGGTTTTACAATGCAAGTTCTTAGTGTGATTAATGATTGCACAATGGTTTTGGGATTCGATTGACACTTATACATATTGTGCTAGCTAAGCTTCAACTTGACAATATGATGCCATTTTTCTATAATCTCAATGGACAGTTGCCTAGCTGCTGTTTATAAGTGTGTAAAGTAGCTAAGGTTCCTACTTTTTGCACCACTAATTAAGAGGACAAGGATGATGCCTGCCTCGTGAGTCGTGACCACCCTACTCGCTATTTTTTTGCCCCAGGCCAAGGGGCTGCAAGCACCCCCTCCCCTGTGAATGGCTCCGCCACTGATTGTGGTCAACCCGCTAGAATTAAAAAGTCATTGAAATGAAATATTTATATTGGATGAAATTATTATTAGCGTCATACTAACAAATTGGGTGTTAGCACCCTAACCTCTACCCCCATTTGAGTCAAAGTGTACCTCAATTTAATCATTATCAAATTAAAAAATTGATTTATATAAACCTTTCAAAATACATTTAGCTTTAATTAAAACTCTGATAGGATAAATTTGTATGCTGACGTCTCCCAAAAAAAATTATAAGGTAGTTAATCAAAATTGTATTGAAATCCGAGAGTTGCAACTCCCATCCTCCCTCTCAAAATGTCAAATGTTCTTTACAAACCGTCAACATTAATATGTAATCAAACCAACTATAAATCTAACTAATATAGACCTACACTTTAAGTACTCTCAACTGAACAGGGGTACAACTTCTAGCAAAAACAAATAGTTCATTCAAATGTTTGAGTGAGATTTGGTTGGGGGAGCAATCTTCTGATCTTCATAAAGTCTAGTATTACGATCACGAAACTGGTGCCTTCTGGGAATTGGGTCCCTTATGGCAGGGTTCTTCCATCTTCAGCCTATGTCTTCTCTCTTATTTACTTTAATGAAATCATCACATTGTGATGCCAACATGATTGCATCATCTAGCACACCTTTCATGCCAAACAAAACTGATGGTCATAAGCCACAAGAATCTTCCAATAGCAGCTTTAGCGCCCTGCTTTGCCCATTGTTGCTCAACCCAAATTAGAAGAGAGCTCTAGTCTGGGAGTTGCAGGCACACACAGATACCTTGCAATACATTTTGAAAAACTGAAATCCTAAAAGGGAAAGTACCAAATAAATGGCCTCTACTCTTCATATTACAACGACATAAAACACATCAACTATCACAAGCAATTCCCCAACAAATCAGTAAGTCTTTAGTTGAAATTCTGCCTAGTATAAACAACCACAGGAGCACACTATGCTTTATGATAAAAGATTTACCCTAAACAACATGAAACCATGAGAAGGGGGAAGAGGAGTACGTATGGAGGACCATACCAGTTTTACTGAGTATTTAGGTATGATATTACCATCACAAGCAATTGCAGCTCCTGAGCTAGTAAGATGTAGTTGGACACTCTTTGTACACTTATATATTTTCTTCTAGACCAGGAACTTGCAGGGAGCACCCAAATATTGCTCCCCTTATTCCTATATATCTTCATCCATGCCACCCATAGTGAACCTGCTTCAACTAGCAGATTCCATAGATGTCTAATAATGCAATATTTTTTCCAGGTCTTAAAGTCCTTTATCCTCAGACCCCTTCTTTCTTCAAAAGGGCCACCTCAGACCAAGAAACGAGAGCCTATTTTGAATTTTCCTTCCCTTGTCACCATCAGTCTCCCATAAAAACTTATTGCAAATATCTTCAATCATTTTGAGAACTTTCAGAGGTAATATAAACACGGACATCCAATACTGAAATGCACTTTCTATGACATAGGATATCAAATTGAGCTTCCAGCATATCTTAGTGTTCTTGCTTGCCATGTGTAGATACTTTAGCTATATTCTTAAATAGAACTTGACATTCATGAGTAGAAAGCTTGTCTGATAATAAAGGAACTCCTAGATAACCGATAGGTAATTTTCCTAATGGAAATCTTGTGAAAGCTTAAATAGACTGTTGTTCCTCCTTTGAAATGCCATCACAGAACAATTGACACGTCAACATATTGCATTTAAGACGTGAGATCACATAAAACCTATTCATCAACATTTGTATCACAGAGACATCTCTAACTGAACCATTTGAAAGGACTAGAAAATCATATGAAAAGTAGGGATGAGTGATCTCTAGTCCATTACACTTCCGATGAAAAGAGATTTGCTCATTAACTACCTCTTTAGCTAATAAACAGGAAAAACTTCCATGAAAATGACAAAGAGATTGGAGAACAATAAACCCCTTGCCTCAATCCCTTACCTTCTAGGAAGTAGCCATAGAGACCTCCACTGTAAGAAACAATCAACATGTTTGATGTAACACAAGCTTCAATCAAATGAATGAAATTCAAAAGCACTTTCATAGTTGTTATTACTCGAAACAGAAACTTCCAATCGGCAGAGTTGAATCCCTTCATCAAGTCGATCTTGAGGACACAATAAGAAGAAATACAAGCTTTATGATAGTCCTTTAACACTTCTGGTGTTATTAGAATAGTATCACTAATTAGTCTACACTTAACAAACGGCAATTGACTTTTTCCAATGATTTTACAAAACTAATGATAATCTATTAGATAGAAGTTTAGATATTCCCTTATATATCACATTGCAACACAAAATTGGTCTAAAGTTCTACATTCTATCTACCATTGGAAGTTTAGGTATAAGAGCAAGGACTTTTGAATTCACCTGCCTAGCCACAACGCCAGTTCTGAGGAGGTCCAACATTGTGTCTTTCACTTCTTTACTCACTACATCCCAGCCCAACTAGAAAAATATGATGTGTAACCATCCAACACAGTGGCCTTGTCATTACAAATGCCAAGAACACTTTTCTAATTTCCTCTTTTGTAATAGGTTCAATATGGTATTCAACATCACTATCGTCAAGTTTATGCACCAACAACTATTCAAAGAAACAAACTGAAGTGCCTTGCACAATTGAATCAGCCATACCCAACAATCCCTTATAGAAGTGAAACAACCATTTGCCCCATTTCTTTTACTTTAGTGACCACTTCTCCATAATATTTAATAAATTTTTGAATGGTTTCTAGCTTTACCATTTTGTGAAAGAAACTTGTATTAGCATCTCGCTCAGTAATCCATCTAATTCTTGACTTTTTCCTGTAAAATTCTCCTCAACACTCAACAACGTAACTCTCTACACAAAGCTTCTTGAGCCAAAACATCAAGAGAATTCTGCTATAAAGGATAAGATATAACACTCCTCTGCATCATTTCCATTTTGTCTTCGGCTTCCCTTGTTCTCAAAGATATACAAAAAATAGGTCATATTCAAACTCTTCAACTTTTCCTTAAGAACTCACAACTTACTATACAGAATGAAATAAGGCACCTCAATACACTATGCTTCCTTCAACATACTTAAGTACCGAAGGTGCAACCTCCAAAATGTGAAATTTGAATGGCTTTGGCAGTGAAGTAACTAAAGGATCAGCTTGAACAAAAAGACCATAGTGATCTGGCACACTAGTTAGGAGTCAAGGTCTGAACTACACTGTTTTTAAACTTATCCAACCAAGCTTTAGTTATCAGAGCACGATCAATACAACGAGCAATAGGATTATTAGATGATGTGTTCCACTAGATGAACCATTAGCCAACAACACTCTTATGATCCATCAATTTCATATCTACTATTCATTGTCTAAAATATGACATACTCCGACTCAACACTGGAGTATTAGAAGTTTTAGAGCTATCAACAATAGCACTAAAATCACCATGAAATCTGAGGTTTTGACTAGATATCTTCTCAACTCTACATGAATCACCCAATTTTCTCTTTCTGTATGGAATGGAATTTTTGAAGCACCACCACTACATGTGCTAGTATCTTTCATATTTTTCACCATAGAAAAGGAGAACGAAACAAAATCTACTTGAATACGTATTTTTAGTAGGACTATGAAAAGGACAAAGCAAAATGTAGAGAGATGGAAATTGTAGCATTATTACTTTGTTTTAGCTTTCACATGGGCATAGTGTTATTATACCTTCTTCCCTCCCTCCCACATAAAAACACCCACAATCATTCAAAAACAATTTCATTTATAAAATAAACTAAAAAAGAGAAGAAGAAGTGAACTTCCAAAATGCTAAGCATTGTTAATTTTTCCCCTCTCACAAAAAGTTCCTATGCAAGATACTTGAAGTTCGGTATATTTTTTTAATTGATTATTGTTCCAAAGTTTGAAGCATTCTGCAAACGTTATATAATTCTCAAATTATCATTAGGCCAATCTCATTTGGGGATTTTAGTCGGCCATATAGTAATTTTAGTAGTTGTGGTATCATATTTTGCTAAATTTACTGTTAATTGATTAGTTTCATTATTTAGTCGTTGTAATAATCAAACTCGGATAGAATAATCATTACCATTCCAATTTCCATAAATAGTCAAATAGACGACTACTTTTTGCGACTCAAACTCATATAATCTTCAAAACTTTGCATGTACCTCTTTATATGTTGTGAATTTAGAATTTGTGGGTCTAGTTTATATCTCTAGAATGACGAACTAAGTCAATTTTATACTCCTTTTAGTGCAGCGAGATTCGAGGAGATGCAAGCCGACATAAAAAATTATATAAGAGTTAAACAATCTGACACTCGGATAAAGATGAAATAGTTTGTATAAACGACAACTCGAAAACCCAAAGTATTAATAAAATTTCTCAATATGTATTTAGACATAATTAAGTAATCTCGAGATAAAATATAGTATTTCGAAGAGATTAAATTGTTGTTTTATTATTAAAGAGAAAGATAACCACTAAAATTAATGGGAGGGGTGAAACAATAATGGTATTAGGACCTTAATCACTCTCTTTCCTCTATAATGTTCCTTTTTTTCTTCTACCCCACCCATTAATCAATCGAATCAATACTAACAATAATAATGACCAGAATTGAGAATTTACAAAAAGAGTTTCGCTGGCTAGCTCACTCGACCCGACTCGAACTCGGCCGATTCCGCCTCCACTCTGATTCGAACCCGGGACGACTCAGAATGGGTCAACAACTCGGCCCGACCACTCTGTTCTTTCAGCCATCTCCATTGGTAATTCTCCTCAAAGGAGAGCATACAGTAATCATATAACTATACACTCTTTCGTCTTCTGTGTGTGTCGCGTCAACTCGCTCGGTTGACTCAGCAGCAGCAACCCCAACTCATCAACTCAGTGAAACCCGTATAGCAAACCAAAAAATTATGCTAAACTAAACCCCGAGTCGACTTCCAGGGCCAGAAACCCAGAACCGATTCCGAATTCCACCCGACCCCAATTCCCCTGAATCACCAGATTGTTGGTTTCTCAGCGAGCAGAGGCCGGGACTCGGTCCACAAATCGGACGGCTTCCGTCGAATCGGGTTGCAATTCATCGACTTGAGATCCTCCAACCGGTTGGACCCGTCGGATCGGGAGATGGACCGGATGGCTTCCTCGAAGACCGACTCGTCGCAGGGGATGGTCAGGGGACCCTGGTTGGAGAACCCGTACTCTTCCTCGGCCTGGGTCAGGAGCTTGAGGAAAACCGGGTGGTTCAGGTAAGTGGCCCGGACCACGAATCTCCGGCAGCTGGAGCCGACGCAGACGGCGATGTGGCCGGAAGGGACGTCGGAGGGGATTTGCTTGCTGCTGCTGGCAGAGGACACCCTGGCTTTGTTCCTCCACCGCCGCAGCATTTGGCGGAGCCTTACAATGTGGCGGATTTTGGCGCACTTGGAGAATCCGGCCGACATATTTTTGATGTTGGAGAGAGAGAGAGAGATTCAATTTTCCCGAGAAAGTCCGGCGAGAAAATGTTTCGCTGTTTGGTTGCAGTTGGGAGTGAGAGCGGAAGGAGGGAGGGGAATTGGGAAGGGAAGGAGGGGCGGGGGATTTATAGAAGATTGACTTACAAGATTGCCCCTACTTTTCGACATAATTACGAGTTTGCCGTTACCTTTTTTTGTGTTTTCCTTTTTTATTTTGGATTAGCGATGGGATTAAGGAATGGGCTATTGAATTAATAAATATATGAATAGTGTGTCTTAATAATTTGGAACAGAAACATAAGCATATGATGTTGGAACAAAAATTAACATGAATTTTTATTTTTATTATGTAGTGAGGGTGAGTGAGTGCATGGGGGAAATATTTGTGCAGAGATTTGATACATTGAATTTGAGACTTAATGACGAAAATTAAGGAGGAACTTAGTGGGTTTGTTGTTGTTTGTGAGATTTATGGCAGTTTGACTAGATTTTGTTTGCTTTACTCTCTAGCTAGCTGATTTGATTTGGGATATATAATTAATGGAAAACGAAACAGTTAATTTTCTGCTTGTCTGTTAATCCTGTTATGAAAGCACGAAACTTTGGTAACTTCCCCCAAAAGCTCTAGCTTTTAGTAGCTCTACCGCCCTAATTAAACTCCCTAAATGGATTTCTTATTTGTTGGTACATAGTTTAAGTGTATGGCGTTATCAATCTTCATGTTATCAGTAATTGCCTATTGAACATGCATGTTGATTAAAAATGGTTAAGGTAGACTGAAATCTCAATTCCATCTAATATGGTTTAGAGGTTATGACTTAGATATATTTTTTAGAAGTTATTTTTTTCCCGAACTGCAAGGATCCTTGTCGGGTTGGATCCATATTATAAATATGAAATACTATTTCGGTATATTTACTGTTGTGAAATTCCATCAAATTCCTAAACAGATCCCGCAAATTACTCTAATTGAAACTCCATATATCACCAACTAATTGATGTCTCTAAACAACGGACAATACAAGCTAAAGCTAGCTAGTAACATTTTTCATCTTAATAGTAACTATTAAACAGTAAGTAGAGAGGGTAGGTTAGGGGACTTAATCAATTAGCTAGCATTAATCGCCATTATGTAGCTAGTAGGCATGCATGTTAGATTGAATCTTGTATGTGAGGTTTCGATGCGGTGAAAAAAAGGTGGTGAAAAAGTCTGATTAGGCGTGCAGGGCTACAGGCTAACAAAGTCTTTTGCGGTGCATTATTCTCAACGCATAAATCAGTGCAATTAACAAACTACAAGGTTACTTTTGTACTACTTAGTCAACGTTTAATTAGTCGTTGTTGTAAATAATGGCGGTTACCGTCTTTATTTTGAGGGGAATCACTTTACTTGTCGGCGTTGTTGCCAGGCCATTCACCGTTTAACCCTAAACTTGGCCGGCCGATATGGAAAGGATTGATGGATAATCAAGAAGAGAATCGTAAAATAAATGTATTTTTGATAATTTATGTATGGGCATTGAATCATGTATGGGGAGTTTTTAACTTTTTATAATCCATCAAATGAGAAAAAAATGAAAAATTGAACTTATAAACAGTAAATAAGTGCAATCTATCCTTCAAGAGTACTCCTTGTTGATGTAAATGGTATTTATTTTGTGGGTATGTCCCTACCCATTTTAGTAAAATTTTTTGGCTTTTACCGTCTCAATAAAAAAGACCCTAAAACACTGTCCTCCTTAAAATTAGTTGTACTCAACAATCTACATAAAACATTTGCGTCCTGTGTATTTGGATTTGATTTCATGTTATCAATTACAAACTTCAACAATACACAAGTTTAGATATACATGCATATAACTTGAAATGCATAACTTTGCTATCAAAAGGGAAATGAAAATGACAAAGGGCAGTGGTGTACTTGTGTTCCCCAAATCACCTAAGAACCATCATCACTTAAAATAACAAACCACCACTAACTGTAGATAACGATGACTTTATGTCTTCATCTGGTTTTCATTTTCACTATAGTGGTTGCGAGCACAATAATCCATGTTTTTGCTTTGCTTAACTTTCATGGGATGCATCAAAATCAAGGCTAGCTAATCTGGGTTTTGTAGTTGACATTAGTGTGTGCTAATTAAACGTACGTAGATCCTTTTCTCGACAGCTCAATCATATACATATGTATCGGACAATGTAGTAGGAACAAGAACAGAAAATGACAGGAGAAAGCTGGGTAAGGATCTAGGTAGATAGCTATAAAACCAGGGGCTGGATCATCAACTTGCACAATCTTCTTGCACGCCAAGCTGCCGACGGTCTCTTCCCTTGTGTACTAATTCGAGTGAGGATATATAATGAATGGGGAAGTTATTGATATTTGTAAAATGTCCAAAAAGGTTTAAATAATCTCTATGATGTATGCATGGTGTTTTTATTGAATTTCTCGTAGCACATTCATCATGTATTTATGCCGTTCAATTTCCTAACGTAACATGTATTATTGACCAACATAATTTGTTAAGCAAGCAAGCCAGCTTGATTGATTTGTTGGATGTCTACTTGAATTCTCGATCAACTTTCCTTCTAATTAAGTACATGTTTACCTTATCTTCAGGAGAGTATATCTCCTGATTAATGAGGTTTCTCATTTCTTATTCGACAAGGATTTTTTTTTTTTTGCTCATCAGTATATTAAGTTTAACCTGCAGAACTACGAAACCAACAAGGTGAATGAGAACTCAAAAGAAACCAACAATCGATTTTCACGACGTTCTCAGCATCTATAATTATTTTATAAACCTCTCAATTTAATTTTTTCGTCACACTTTGCATTCTTTTTTTTTTCGATAAATGAGGTTTCTTATTCATCAAGAAAGGGACAAAGTCCCTAACTGGCACCAATTCACAAACCGATAGTCAATACATCCAGAGTTTTCCAATCACAAAGCTAATACAACTCAGATAACATATAACAAACTAGACAAACATGAAACCTTCTGCTAAATGTAAAGCAACAACAGCAACCCCAACCTTTGCATAGGTCATTCTGGTGAGGTGGACTGATTTCTGAAGTTTCTCACAGAGTTGATCTGTTGCGAGGGATTCCCCTGCATAAAGCCTTCGGCATCGCTCCCTCCAAAGCTCACTAACCATCGTCATCCATAACAGTTTGCCTACAACACCACATGAAGACTCCGGACTAAACTTTGCATTCTTATGGTTTGCATGAAGTGGGAAATTGGTTCATCGATTTCGGTCCTCTTTTATTCTATGTGTCAGAACAGAAGCGTGCAATCGAAAATCTAGATCAAAACGAACGAACACAAATTTAACGCGATTCACTAACATAATGTATGATAGCTAATCCACGAGTACGAGAGAACAAATTTAACTGATTTGAGGAGAGTACAGGTTACAAACCAAATTCTTGAACGGACAAACCAAACAAACTAATCCGACTGACCCTACTACAGACTAGGGTGATGAAGAGTATTTATAGAACTCTTCTCCTAATCCCAAACAGAGAAACCGAACATCTTTTCCCAAACATACAAGGAAAAGGTCAAAACAAAACCCAATCTCAAACCCAAACAGAATAAGCCTAAAACACAAAACAAACCCAAATCAAATTCAAGTCATATTCTAACACTATGTCCTTGCTTATCGTGGATTATAGGACTTCATTAGCTTAATAGCTAATTTACAAGACTCTAACCAAATTGAAGGTTACTAGGAAGATAAATGGGGTCATCCATTACCTACATCCGTGCGAGACAAGGCTTACATGTACTTCTTTGGGCGCACGAAGTAAGAACTATAAAAGACCTCTAATCTCTCTTTGTTTTCTTTGTGTGCCTCAATAGGTAGTTGGTTGATCCCTTTACAACCATTGAACTATAAGAAGGGAAACTGAAAGATGCTTTTGGCTTCAACCCTCATTTCCTTGCCCTTAAAATATACCTCACTATAAAACCATAAAATTTTATTATCTATTTTGCAATTTCTGACCACTACCCATGTGCAAGGATGCCCCATCCCCTTCAAAGTTTCTTTTATTAAAACATAACCACACACCAAAACAAAATGCTAAAAATGCCTCACCACCCTCTTCCCTTAATCACTCACTAATTAATTATGTAATCCCCTCTCCCTTTAATTCTCCCAACCCATCCTTACAAAGATTGTACCACTCATCAATTAGTTTTATTCAGGTTTTGGGTAACCATTTACTAACAAACATAAAAGTTTTAACTCTACAACTGAATAGGTTTTTGTTAGTTTCTAAAATCGATATGAAATTGATAAGACGAGTTGAAAATTCTCATACAAAATAGGCATATGATTTCATTCTATCTAGTTCATCATCGATTCTATTCGTTACATTTTTCAAGGATTCAATGAAGTAGGAACTAATTGATCATGTTTGCTCCGACCCAAAAGTTGGCTTCATTCACATCATTGGTCATCCCTGAGACTTTGTATGCAAATTTAAATGAGTAAATCCTAATTGTAAACAATAACTAAGAAGACTCTACGAACATATGCTCACTACAAACCATACATAAATATATTTTCATACATGATTTTCCTAGGTTCACAACACATTAATGATGGAGTAACACAAGGTTTGGTTCTTTCCCTTGTAGAGAGAGAACTACAAATTAGTAAGCAAACCATTGGACAATTTAAAGCTTGGAATTGACAAGTTCCATCTCCATTATGCTAACTAACTACATATCTTGAGAACTTTGGATTGGAAAAGAAAGGGGCAAGTGAGTAGGAAAGGCAGAATTAATGGTCAAAATGAGGGCAATGAAGGGGTTTATGGGGTCCTCTCTAATCTTTGCATGTTATGAGTTTGGTAGAGAAGGAAAGGGAGAGGGGGAGTGCATCTATATATCTCCCTGCCTTCTGAGACGTCACAATTATTATTAATATTATTAGCCCCAATAATAATCTTAATAATACCCCACCCATGTTGGGATTTAAGGATTACACGATTAAATATTATAATTAGGAACCACTTATAAATATAGTTCACTGCTCTTAACCTATAAATACATCACCAAAATCCTTACAAAATTGAAAAAACACACAGCACCCACAAACAAGTGTTGTTTGTATTATAAATTGCAATAACGAAATCGATCAATAAATGTTATGATGTGATTGTGATCGGATAAAAAAAAGAGGAAAAGGCCACACTTGGGAGAAGATTGTGTGTGTGGGGAGACATCAAATTTATGTTGGAAATTTGCCAATTTTGTTTTGTGGCTAGGACAAAATTTGTGGGCAGATATGGGGGAATATATGCAGGAATTAGGGAAGGTCATTTCGATTGATAAGAGACAAGGTCAATTGGATATTAATAAATTTGGGTATTTGGATTATAATTGTGAGGCACAATGTTTAGTTATAAAAATTATAAATTTGGTAAACAAACTTGTGATGATCCATTTGAGAGGAAAAAAAGGATAAATTTTGAGGCACAATGACAAAGCGCGAGAAGAATCAAGTTTTGTACAAGGCAGTATTAGGGTGAGTGGAACTGCAAATTACATAGGTTGATACGAAACAAATGTCTACAAGTCATCTCTATTACGAGTGTGCGATACTAAAGATTACAGAGTCTACGTGTCCACAATAAAAGTCACCACACTTATAATAAAACGTTTTGGAGTCCAAAACAAGCTCACACATGTCATTTACATAATTTCAATTCGTATATATAAATTGTGACAACAAGGTTTAATAAGACGCTAGGCGTAAGATGGACGTTGAGCTTGAGCCTTTGCCTAGTGCATTGGAAGCAAATAATAACAATTTGCAGTACACGATGAATGAATTAACAATTTACAACAATTCTCACATCAAATCGAATGATTAATAACTTATTTAACACTTACAACCAAAAAACATTGCCCAGAAGTTCATAGAATCAAGCTCACAAAGTTCTTGAACTATTGAAAAAATTTAGATAGAAAGATTGCATTTGTGGATTATATTATTTTTCTCTTTTGATATTGACTACTTAGATCCATATAATTATGCCTAGGCTACATCTAGTTCGTTGATGCATTCGCGGTACTTAACTCTCGATGGAATTGGAACCTTTAAGCAAGACGTTTGACGTAGCCTAGCGTATAGACATGTCTAAGTATAAGTTCAAGTGTCTTGTTTTGAATCATATGATAAATAATGCCAACATAATTTATGAAAATCTGATTCACTTGTATAAATCAATTTATCCACTATCTATCCGAAATTACTCGGATGGGCTAATCTCAGTTCACTCGCACATCAATAAAATTAATGGTGTCTCGCTTTTATATGAATGCAGTTTGAATTATTTGCTAATAAATGTAACAGGAAGTTCAAAAGACTACTCTGTTAAAACTTTGTCGAATTAAACCCAACCGGTCCGTCTACGACACACTTACCAGTAGGGTTGTTAATGAACCAAACCGCTTATGAACGGTGCGGCGTCCGACTCAATAAAAACTCGTCCGAAACTCGATTCATCTTAATCAAGTTGGCTCGCGAACAAGCTATTGTATTATGTATATATGTTGGGGGACCAATTTGTATATACATGTAAACTATGTGAACTAGTTTATGAGTGTGTACACGTCTTGTGTTAAGACGTTGTGCATGGCTATATATCCTCGTTCTAGAGTTTATAGCCGACATTGAATTAGAAACAAGAAGAACATAAGTTAACCACCGTGGAGTAAAGTCTCTCTGAGAGGATGAACCACATTAATCTCGTGTCTTAGTTAGTGTTTATGCTTCCTTTTCGTGTTGGCTTAACATGGAAGCAGAGCCTGGCGGGGTTCTTCATGTTTGATCGTGTTGGTATCTTGGCGTCGTTCTCATCACTACTCGTGCTCTTCAGGTTCGCTTTTCTTTGAAATTTCAGCTTGCTCACAAGTTGATTTTTCTCTCGGTAGCTTAGTATGGTTGGCTTCCTTGCGTTAGCCCTTATCTATTTTGGGACGTGCGTTGGTATTGTGGGTTTATTCGTGTCGCTGCTGTTGTCTTGGGGTTTCTCTGTTGGTGTGTATTTCTTGCTCTTGTTATTTCTTCTTACCATGGATCACGCCAAGGATTATGTATCAACTCATTTGAATGGCAAGAATTTCCCTCTCTGGAAATTTCAATTCGGGTGTTTATCGAGGGCAAGCGGTTGTTTTCTTTTCTTGATGGATCTGCTGCCAAATCTTCGAAATCTGCTACTGCAAATGAGCAAGCTGATTGGGCTGCTTCCAATGCGCAAGTCACGTACTGGTTACTTGCTGCGGTTGAACCAAATATTGCTCTTAGCCTCCGTTCTTACTCCACAGCTCATGAGATATGGTATTACCTTTGTTCTCTTCACTCTCAACAATGTGTCTCCCGTCAATTCGAGATCTTCCAACCTCGTGCTTTACTATGCCAATGAGATAAGGATATTCGGACCTACTATCAGGATGTGCTGCATCTATGGACCGAAGAAGATATGTTGTCTATTGATCTCAACAGAGGTGTTACGACTTCTGCTATGGTGGCTGAACGTCACCGTCTTCGTCTAATGCACTTCCTTATGAAGCTCCACTCCGATTTCGAGCCTATTCGAGCCTCTCTTCTGCATCGTAATGTTACTAGTATGGATGACGTGTTGGCTGAACTGTTACGTGAAGAAACACATCTGTGAAGTCAAGCTCGGCTTGATCGGTCTTCCTCTACTCCTAAGACTGCTTTTGCTGTCAGTCGATCTGGTAAGCCGCAGTTTCAGAAACCTGTTCCACCCATGTTGAGTGTCATTACTGCAGGGAGAAGGGTCATGTTATATTACATTGCAAGCACCGGAATTACTGCAATTATTGTAAGACTTCCGGTCATATCGTATTGGATTGTCATTCGCTAGCGAGATGGGGCAAGGTTGGTGGTATTCGTCCCTCTCCTACTGTCCCGTCTTATGGTGTCCAACCTTCTTCTAGTCCTGAAGTCCATAGTTCCTCCACAATAGCTGCGTACCATGCCTCTGCTCCACCTCTTATTGGCTCCTCAGGTCTTATTCGCTCGCCACCCTCCTCATCGACTGCTTCTTCTTTGACTCTGGATTCGTTAGAACAGCTTATTCTAGCCACACTGCAGAAGGTTCTTCCTAGTGCACTTCATTCGGGTTCTCTGTGAACAATGCCTCAGGTAATTTGGCTTCTTGGTATTTAGATTATGAAGCCTATAATCACATGTCTAATTTGCGTGATCGGTTTCTCCATCTCTGAGCACTTCCTCCAATTGACTTACAGGTGGTGAATGGAGCTCGCCTTCCTGTTAGTGCTATTGGTACCATACAACGACCAAATTTTACTTTGTAGGATATGCTCTATGTTCTGTGATTAGTTCCTAACTTTGTTTCCGTTAGTTAGCTAGGTGATCTTGATTGCCGTATTATTTTTTATGCAGGTGGCTTTCTGGTGCAGGATCGGAGCACAAGGAAGAAAATGGGTAGTGGGCGCAAGTGTGGATGGATGTTTATCCTAGATCCTTAGAGTAGCTGTGGAAGCCTGGACTGGATGGGGATCGTGGGACATCTGTTGATGTTGGACCTCTTCTGAATTCTCTTTTGAATGCACCTGGTTTGGCTTTGGATGTTTATTATGTTACCCCTTTGGATTGGCAATTGTGGCATTGCCATTTGGGTCATCCCAATACGGCTCGTTTACATACTATGTTTCAAAATAAATTGCTACATGACAGTCTTAGTAATAGTTTTGTTCCTTTTTCTCCTTGTATTAGTTTCATTGAAGCAAAGACAACTCAAATATCATTTCCTTCGACCCAGATTGTGTATTCTGAATCGTTTGAGTTGGTGCACACTAATTTGTGGGGACCATCTCCCGCGGATTCTCGTCTTGGTTTTAAATAATTCTCTCTTTTCAGTGATCAAGCAACTCGATACAGCTGGGTATTCTTTCTAAAACAGAAGTATGGACTATGTACCATTGCACTTGAATTTGTTCAGATGGTCAGAACTCAATTTGGCAAGACTATTAAGATAGTGTGTTCTGACCTAGGGGGATTTTAATTCCAACCCTCTCTTGGAGTTTTATCGGGAGAATGAGATTATATCACAATAATCATGTTTGGGCATATCACAATAGAATGGGATGATTGAGCAAAAACATAGGCATGTTCTTGATTTAACTCGTGCCCTTATTATTCACTCACAGGTTTCGCCGAGTTTCTGGGACAAGGCATACATACTGTGATTTATGTGATTAATCGACAGGGCACGTTTGTATTGGGTCAGCAATCTCCTTTCTTTAGCCTGTATGGGAAGCATCCTAACTACAGTTGGTTAAAGATTTTCGGTTGTACTTGTTATGTTCTCCTTCCAAAAAAGGAACGCCACAAAATGTAACCCAAAGTCGCGAAGTGCGTGTTTTTCGGATACAGTGAAAGGTTTAAAGGTTACCTATGTTATGATACGAAATCATGGCGAATGCGAATTTCTTGCAATGTGGTATTCCTAGAACAAGTTCTTCATTATCGGGAGTCGAATGAGACTACTACTACGGGTGCTTTTGATTTTCTAAATTCTCTTCCTCTCATAGCCCTCTTGGATATGACCACTTAGCCTTCACCCACTAGCAATCCTGGAGGCCATGGCAACGTGGCATCAGATTAATCTTCAAGTGGGTCAAGTGAGACGAGTAGTGATGGTTCTATGTCTCCTAGTGATACATCATCCTCGTCCTCACAGACATCCTCGTCAACTTCACAAGATTCAAGTTCTTCGTCTTCTGGTCCGTCTTCTTCGAGATCGTCAACGTTCGGGTCTTCAGCCGGACCAGCTGAAGAAACTATTGTAGTTGAGCGCCAACATTCCACCCGGACGAATTTCGAAAAACCCCCATCCAGGCATAATGATTTTGTTTCATTCTCGGATGATCCCTCATCCATCCCCATTCCTACGTCTTATCTCCAAGCCAGCAAAGATGAACGTCGGAATGTTGTTATGCCAGAAGAGACATTGGCTTTGGAAGCTCATAATAAATGGGACGTGGTTCCGCGACCACTTCACTAGGTTGTTGTGGGAAGTGGTTGGGTTTATACAATTAAATTGCATCCCTATGGATCTCTAGAGCAATTCAAAGCTCGCATTGTTGCACAGGGATTCCGCCAAGAGTTTGGAATCGACTATGATAAAAAAAATTCACGGGTTGCCAAAATGCAGACTATACGAACACTTCTAGCTGTGGCAGCTCTCATAAATTGGCAATTGACACAGTTAAATGTGAAGAATGCTTTTTTGCATGGGGATTTGAAAGAAAAATATATATGGAACCTCTTCCGGGTTATGGGAATGGTGATAAATCTATGGTCTGTAAGCTCAATCGTTCTCTTTATGGTTTAAAACAGGCACCAAGAGCGTGGTTTGAAAAGTTTCATCATACTATTGTTCATGCTGGTTTAATCAAAGTGACACTGATCCATCTTTGTTCCTTCGGCGTACTATCAACGAGATTGTTGTTTTCTTGATTTGCATGAATGATATGATAGTCATCGGGAGTGATCAAGATGGCATGCGAGAACTCACTCTTGTTCTGCATCGTGCGTTCAAGCTAAAGGAGTTCGGAACAAATTTGTCCTACTTCCTAGGTTTGGAAATTCAACGGTCCTCTCAAGGCTTATTTGTGTGTCAACACAAATATATATTGGATTTACTTGAGGAATCTCAATTTGCATATTGTAATCCTGCATTGACCCCCCATGGAACAACACCTTAAGCTATCAAGTTCGAGTGGAAATCTCTTATCTTCTACAGATGGTACTAGGTATAGGAGCATTGTTGGAAGTTTGATATATTTGACGTCTACTTGCCCAGACCTTTCGTAGGCAGTTCAGATAGTCAGTCAATTTATGTCATCTCCTTGGAGTCAGCATATGGATGCAGTTCATCGTATTCTCCGCTATCTGAAAGGCACATTGGAGGTTGGATTGTATTTTCCCTACTCAGGTACGACTTCTCTCACAGCTTTTGTCGATGCAGATTATGCAGAGTGTCACGATACTCGTCGATCGACATCCGGTTGGTGTGTTAAATTGGGATCTTCTGTTATCTCGTGGCGTTGTAAGAAGCAAGACCGAGTTGCTAAGTCATCTACTGAAGCCGAGTATCACTCTATGTCAGATGTTAGTCCCGAGCTAGTATGGTTACATCGACTTTTAGCTGAATTACAAGTTCAGTGTGAGCTTCTTGTTCAACTATTTGCTGACTATGTAGGCGCTATCCAGATCGCTATGAATCCTGTACTGCACGAGCGTACCAAGCACATTGAAGCACATATTCGCTACATTCGCCAGTTGGTGTCTGATGGATGGCTTTAGCTACAATATCTTACCACGGATGAGCAGCCTGCAGATCTTCTCACCAAACAGTTTCCACGAGCCGACATTGGTTTCTTTCACACAAAGTGATGTTGCGTCAAGCACCATCAGTTTAAGGGGGGTATTGAATGATGTATATATGTTGGGGAACCAATTTGTATATACATGTAAACTATGTGGACTAGTTTGTGAGTGTGTACACGTCTTGTGGTTAAGACGTTGTGCATGGCTATATATCCTCGTTCTAGGGTTTATAGTCGACATTGAATTAGAAACAAGAAGAACATAAGTTTAACACTATGGAGTAAAGTCTCTCTGAGAGTCCAAACCACGCTAAATCTCGTGCCTACAAGTTTGAATGTATTTCTGTGCTCAGTTGTAGCTCAATCTTGAGCTATAATGAACATTTTATGTGCTGAAATCGATTTTTGGGCTCGTTAAACTTATTGGAAGAGCCGAACTCGAGCCAAGCTCGAGCTTTTATTTTCATAAATGAGCCAAACTCGAGCTTGCATATTAAAACTTGTAACGAACACGAGTCGAGCTCGAGTATGGAAATATATTAACGAACCGACCCCGAATTATTGCAAAGTTTGGCTCAGCTCAGATCATCAACTGCCCTGCTTACTAGTAACCACTTAGCTAGTAGGAGAAGGAAAGGTAACCCAATAATCAAACCGAAGCGGAGGCGTATGAGCACAGAAGTTGAAGAAGATGAGGAGAATACCGTTATCACTTATCACATCTAAGTAGGTGTCGGAGTGGCAGCTGACATGGCACCTTCCTTCCTCGGGACTTGCGAAAAGAGCCCACGTGGTCCAAGGATGAGGTGAAATGAGACCCACAAAGAAAGAGCTAAAAGAGCCACACGAGCCAGCGAGCCAGCCCCAAGTGGGCAAATTGGGTCTATGAGTATACTCATTGGTTGTTGTTTTGTTTGTTTATATGGAACGAGACAATGGCTCACAATAGTGCGAAATGGCTCGCGTTCAGGTTCGGAACCCATGGCTTAGTTGTAGGGTCACGAGCCCCTATTATTTTAGTCCACGACGTTCTTGTACGGGGTTTTCCAATTGGCCAAGTTTATTGTTTGTTTATATAACACAAATGGTGAAGATGTATATGATTTGTGTTGTTGTTAGGGAGAAAAACAAAAACAAATTCAACTTGTATTGCCACTTCTTCTTCTGTCACTATTAACTTTTTTGTTTGGTTATATTTAGCGATGTATTTTCTAGAAGCCATTGATTTATTAATAGTTATCTATAAAATTCTTTTTCATAATAATTTATGATATCCGGACAATTTGAGGATAAATTTTGTATTATCTTTGTTAGTGGTATATACATGCACGAGTTTTTGGTTTCTATAGGTTTTGATGTCATGTATTTGTAGATCCTAGTCGATGGTTTATAAACCTCACAACGATATTTGCAACACCATGATCCATTTGTAACCATTACAAATCATATGTTACATTTTACACACTCAATATTAACTATTTATATGGAATGATTGTATTCTTTATAAACCCGAAATTCAGAATATATCATATATATTACAACACATATATGTAAAAGAGAATGTAGATTCCTATTATATATATTTACTTCTATCTTTTTATAACTTATTAGCTCAAATTTTGAATTTATGATTTTGGGATTAAAGTAATAATACAAGCTATACTTTTCTTATCCAAAGTAAAGGTAGTAATTTTATAATGCCGGCCGGCGAGTTGGGCTATACAGCCTATCACCGACGGCTAGCTCCTAAACACTCCAAATTCTAATTCTTGGTTTCTGTTTGTTTAATCTCCCTTTTTAGTTTTTACAATGATAAAATTACAAATGAAATTAACTAACTCATCAAACAGTTGTCACCAAGGGAAGGGGAATTTATTTATTTTTAATGAATGGGTGCAATGAACTTACTCTCACCACATTACTAATTTCACGCTTTTGTTAGTATCGTGTTGGTTTCCTTTCCTTTCCACCATGGTTCATGTTAAGTTTCCGCTGACATTATTAATTACAATGTTAGGAGTACCACTTAGCAAACAAGTCTCAAATACAGCGTATCACATCAGAACTCCGATATTAAATATGTTTGTGTGAGAATAGTACTAAGATGGGAGATCTCAAGAAAAGTTTCTCGTATTGCAGTACCCCCTTATATTTCTATTCTTCCACAATTTTTTCATAATTTTTTTTATAAATTAGAAAATAAAGGGTTCAATTCATTGTGTGGTGGAAATTGCATTCATAACCATAAAACCATTTAACTTCTATATAATCTCCTCTTTTTTTTTTATTCTTTGAAAATTGACATCGCTTTACTTGACAGTTTCAACAATGGAAAGGACAAAATGACCAAAATACTCTCATTCAGGCTCCTTGATTATGGCTAGGCCACACCGACGAGAACCAAACTATCCGATTATTTAATATTTATGAAAGTATATTATTATTGGAGGGCGTGCTATACTTTAAACTAAAGTAATTTGGCTGGCTTGTTTTCTTCTTAATTGTAGCAAAACACAAGCTATGACAGTCAGCAGATTCATCGTTGTTGTTAATTAAAGGTTGGACTACTACTCGTACTTGTTACTAGACTTGACGGGCTGTTTAGCAGCGCCAACCTTTTTGGCTCTTCGTCAAGTCATGATTGAGCAAAGTGGGAAGGGGACGTATGTATGCTACGGAATGTCGAATCTTTATTTTACCTAATCGGAAATCATAAAGAACTTTCATTGGGTGGTGTCTTTGTCGTTTGCTTTGGGAAAAGAATAATATTCACCAACGTACAATATTTTTTTAAGTAGTAGTAAGGTGGGTTCAACCAACTATAAGCTTATGTATGATATATCTATTATCTAGTAAAGTTGTAAATTTGGAGGTTGTGGGTTATGAGTTTTGGTGGGCTAGCTAGCCGGTTACTTGTTTTCCATTTCTTTTCTAGTGTAGCAATAGTAGTCGACTCTAGCTAGAGGCAGAGGCCAGAGGGAGCATTGGCCGGCGAGGAGAGCTTAAGCGACGGGCGGGGCCAGGTATCTAGCTAGATCTCGAGTCAGCCGACATATAACATTCTCCTAACTTCAACCTAACTCGCCCGTTCAATTGGTTATTTGGGGGCAATAGAACTTCATCTTAGTATCAACTACACCACTCCTCAACACTTGCCCCCAAATAACCAATTGAGCGAGCGAGTTAGGTTGAAGTTAGGAAAATGTTATATATCGACCGACTCGAGATCTTGCTAGAAATAAGACCTCGCCCGTCGCTTAAGCTCTCCTCGCCGGCCAATGCTCCCTCTGGCCTCTGCCTCTAGCTAGAGTCAACTACTATTGCCACTTAGCAGAAAAATTAAGCAAAAAATTCATTAGATATGTAGGTTTTAGTCGATCCTTCAAATTTAGGACCCATACTCTTACTAATTTTAGCTAAATTTAAGGACCCCAATCAACTCAAAATCTATTAAAGGCATTGATTTTAGCATGACTGCTTTTTTAGAACCCAATTAACTTGAAGTAGTGACTGTTTGAGACCATATTTGATTAATGAGTATTCCAATTGGTATTACAGTAAAAACGTTCAAGTTTTAGTTAGTGAACATGTTCTAGATGACTCATATTATCGTGTTGAAAAATCATTTTTTTTTTCCTTACAAATGCATTGGGCTCTTGAATCCCACATA